CAAATACGAATTCGTTCCAGGTAAATAATGGAAAATTCACTCAGCAAGATTGAGACATGATGAGAGATATAAGTGATGGACTCATATCGTAGCCTAATGAAAAATGTACTGGATGGGTCGGCACATTCGGACATGCATTGTTCTAAATAGGAACATCATTAGGAAATTTTGTGCTATAATAAGGTCACAGATATCTAAAATGAAAAATTATTGTTTTGATAAAAAATCATTGATCTGATCAATTTGGGGTGGGATCATATTTCATTCAACTGTGTGTATTTTGTACAGTAAATATTTTCTGAATGAGAAATAAGTATAGATTCATCACGTTAATTGAATTACTAATGGACAATGCAATTTGTTATCATCAGATAATTCTTATCTTAATTGAAATTTTGTAGATATGATGATCCAATATTTTATATGATATATTGGCCAGGAAAGTATTGTATTCTCACAGACATGTGGAGAAGCATATTTTTCAGGTAATACTTGGTAGAGGGGCTGCCAAGGAGATATGATGTTGTTTAACAGACTGAAACACACATATTTACGAACAACTTTCGTCGCCATTCAAAATTACACGTCGAAAAATAAGAAAAAATAATCACCTGCGAAACAGTGTCGCTGCCAAAATTTTGTTCCAGGGGGGAGAGGGGGGTTTAGAAAAAATTAGGGAGAGTATTGAGAAAACCAAAAATATATTATAGATTACAAAGCACTTCGACTCTCACTGAGACACTGCTGCGAAAAACAACACCATCAGTTGAATCGAGGCATTCCATATTTTCACATTTCCGAAATCATCATAACACGATTGATTCAAAAGATTCTGCGTGCCATCATTTATCATTCTGGGAAGGTGATATATCAAGACATTTCATATTCCCAGTTTTTCCAAAACCATAACCTCAAAGTATTTTCACAAAAATTATTACTCTTCGCAATTGATTCAGCTGATCATTTTTTCTTAGGTTTCGTTATGAATTCTCAAATGGCAATATTTGAAATCAATAAATTTTTAAATTCGTGCCAAAATAGGTATATGATAGTATTTTCAATATTTGTGGTTTAACTATATATAGTATGTTATACGAATCTTCCCAATGCAGACAAAAACAAAAATATTTGAAATGAATATTTACATATAAGTAGGTACTTATTATGGTCTACTATATATGTTCAGTCAGATAAAATAAAAATAATACCTGCATTAAGACTCGCATTATGATATAAAAATTGGCAGGCAAATATTGTTCAGAAATAACAAAACATAATCAACATGAAAACATATTTTGTATAGGTAGGTTTTATTTCGGTATGGAATCTATATCCTTCTCAATTCAATATTTGATAACCATTGATATCTGATGATTTATCACCTCATCTCATACTTGTTTATTTTTTGATAATGGTGACACCATTTCACCAATCTTAACTCATATATATATATATAGGTAGCTATAATGATGATTCAATTTTCAAGAACGAAGAAGCGGGTATCGCAATTTATACAATACTTCGTCACGAAGGAAAAAACATCGTAAAATCCTCGCTATTCAACAAAAAAATCATTATGCAATTCCTGATTAATAATTTGCAACAATTCGTGGTAGAAACAAGAATGCATTTACAGAATTTATTACTCGGCGATAATTATTCAAAAACAACTGACCTTGTATACAACATGCATGTAAGCCACTAAAGCAGGCAAGAATATACCTAGTAGCATACCGAGGTGGAAATTGTTCATTACAAATCTGGAGACAGTAACTTTCCACCGACTCAAGATACTATTCTATATACACAATTCATTCTTGTCTGTTTCGATCCAAAATGGGATTTACTATTTTACAACCACTTTGATCAGTTTCCGATGTTTACTTAACCAAGATGAAATCGAAGTTTGACAAAAATGTTATGAAATGTTGGAGGCTGTGAATGCAGGGTGAAATGTGAACGTGAATAAAGTGATGTTTTTCGACATTTTCAACTACCCAGCAATGTATACATGCATGGTGTCCGGAAAGGTCATGTCGTAAATGATAGGGCTGAGAGAGTGGCCAAAAATAATGTTAGTACTTCTTATAAAAACATGTCTATCGCACTTGGTTACTGAGTTATTGACCTTGAAAGTTTCTGCAATTCCATACATATGCATACTGATAATTACTAATAGTATATTATGTACACTACACTGTTTTACCACTAACCAAACCGATTTTTTAACGCCTCGACACGTGTTTCGCTAACTATGTTAGCATCTTCAGGAGAAGATTAAAACTGAGTTTTAATCTTCTCCTGAAGATGCTAACATAGTTAGCGAAACACGTGTCGAGGCGTTAAAAAATCGGTTTGGTTAGTGGTAAAACAGTGTAGTGTATTATCGTGCCAAAGGTTCCAGTCTTTGATATAGTATATTATGTAACAAGTGTTATAAACGTCCTTTTAGTAACGAGTAGTTTAAGCACGAGCGGAGCAGAGCGGAGCGAGTGTTTAATAAACGAGTGTCTAGAAGAGTTTATAATAAACGCGTTACATACGATGATTTTTCTACGAACTCCGAAAATTACATTAACATACCTGCAATTCCTGCTAACCTACAAAATAATTCGAAAGGAATGGGAATTGAGAACATAATACAAGCAACTGCATGCAACCAGCGAGACACGTATAAGTGATATTGGTTGTAGATGTGTCCAGTCCATTGCTTACTAACCTTTGTTTAACGTTTATTGTCATGCTTAGCGCATAATAAATAAATTGTTCTCAAAGATGGATGCTTCATTTTTACACTTCTTGGAGATATGCAAGTACCAGAACATTCTCTCCGATTTCACTTTCGTCTATACTTTTCGCATATATTTTTAATGAAGAATTTTGATACAAACGAATATTGTATGAATGATTCTGATACAAAATTCGAAAATAACAGTTGACAGTTAATACAATTGACAGGCCAAACATGTCTCAAATTACTGAAGCTGTGTTTAATGAACTGTGTTGCCATGGTAATGTGTTTAAGAAATCGTGTTGCCATGGTAACATGTTTAATATTTTGAATAAATCACAGATCGACAATCCGTGATTAATCGATCATTTAGCGTGGTACATATCCGTACGCTAAATGCCATTTTAGTTATGTGAGTAGAAAAACTCATTTATGGTGTTACCAAAGTATTTAATACTATCAAAATGATTTGTTGTCAATTATGACAATGAGTGCAACTATACCATGATGCTATTGAATAAATAGAGTTTTAATTACCTTTGAAACGGTCGGGATGTATATGTTCTTAAAATGCGAAAACGCCTCCATTAAAGGAAAAAAGTTCGTCCCATCCAGTATAAAACATAAGTTAACATAAGTTAATTCAGTTGTTTTAAATTCAAACATGAAATATACCGGCTGATACACAGGAGACATGTACCAGCCTGTAAGTTTTTTGTTTGAAGCGATGAAAATTTGAAATTCACAAGGGTTATATTATCGATGATGGCGCTTCTCTTGAATCCAATGACAATTTGATCGGAAGAAGACCCAACTTTTTTTTCAAATGGCACTTTGTATATTTTTGTAGCCTATCTTATTCACCTTATAATTGAATTTCAGTATGTATCAGAATTTTCTATTCGTTTATTAATTGGCTGTTAAATTGCATTTTATCGAAATACATGAAGTTGGCTGTGGCCCGAATACAATGACATTTCGATGCTTGATAGGCTTAGAAATCCAAAGATCATCACTTAGACGATATTATCAGAATATTTTCCATACCCTAATCGGTCTCAGAAGATGGCCAATAACTTCAGTGAGTTCAAAAAAATCATCCAAAAATAACTCACGATATTGAGAAAACTCAGATAAAAACTCAGTTTGTTTCATTTGGCTATTTGTGAAAAAACAATTTGTTATTTTATGGACAAAATTATTCTTATTATTGTAAAACACTCCAATTATAACGACTCCCATGTTTTTTTTCATTTGAAATCGATTTGAAATCACCGGAATATGTGATTGAAGAAGCGTACGTTCTCTTCTACCTATAAGTGGGCTGGCTCACAATCCTTTAGAATAATGCCATGAATAAATAACCGACAAACTGATTTTTTTTAGTTTCATGAAATGAATAGACCATGTTATACTTAGCAAGATGTCAAGAATGAATAACTGTCAAACTAGACATTTTGTGTAAACCGCCTACTAAGCGAAATGATACTGAAAATACACTAATGTAGACTTATGAACAGATGTATTAGGACGATACATCAATTATTATTATGATTATATTATGGCCACATGACAAAAATGAAAGACAAATAGTTTCTTCACAAGTAGCCAATTAAAAAAAATGAGTTTCTATCTTAGTTTTCTCAATATCCTAAATTATTTTCGGATGATTTTTTTAAACTAAATGAAATTATTGGCAATCTTCTGGGGCCGATTAGGGTATGGAGAATATTCTGATAATATCGTCTAAGTAATGATCTTTGGATTTCTAAACCTATCAAGCATCAAAATGTCATTGTATTCGGGTCACAGCCAACTTCATGTATTTCAATAAAATGCAATTTAACAGCCAATTGATAGACGAATATCAAATTGTGATACATATCTGAATAGAGAATCTCAAGGCGAATAAGATAAGCTACAGAAATATACAGGGTGCCATTAAAAAAAAAGTTGGGTCTACTTCCAATCAAACAGGTGGTTGAAGGAAATTGTTATTGGGTTGGTTCAAAGGAAGCGGCATCATTGATTATATAGCCCTTGTGAATTTGAAATTTTCATCTCTTCAAATCAAAGAATTACAGGTTGTTACATGTCTCCTGTGTCACCCGGTATTTTTTTCATTCAAACTTCCAAGGTCTATAACTCCGTAACGAAGTGCGATAGACATTGTTTTATATGAACTACTGACGTTATTTTGGTTCACTCTTCATTTACGATACGACCTTTGCAGACACCCTGTACATTCCTCGAAAATAAAATCACTTACTTGAAATTGCATTTCTTGCATTTGAAAAGCGTCCGTTTCCCATCACTGCTAGATCGTTTTCTGTCCGACATTTCGGCCAGAAGGTTCTTATCAGCGGCTTTCAGGGAAGGTGGCGGTCTCAGAGGAGAATTTTTCGGCAGGCTAAAATCTCCGGCGGCAGGAATCTTGTTGAGCTTGGGCAGATCAGATTTGCTAGTCGAAGGCGATGCATTTCTGTCGTGGTGTTTAGGTCTGGTGCCACACCCTCCACTGGTGTCCATAGATTGGTCGCTACTAACCGGAATTTCCGTTAGATACTTGTTGTATTTGGTGTAGTTCCTTCTTCCCGTCTCGTCTGTCATCAAAACTTTAGCGGACTCGTGCGCTGGGTCCCGCACAGATTTCAACTTGATGTGTTTGGTTATGTCCCATCGCCAGTTGGACCTGTAGGAGCACAGAGAACACTCGAACGGCTTCTTGTTCAGATGACCCACTATGTGGACATGGAATCTTGATGCTGTGGACGCCCAGAATGTGCAATGGGGACACTTGAAAACTCTCTTATGTTGAGCTACCGAAATGTCATTACCGTGAGTCGGTACTTTATCCGTACTGGAGGGTACCGGAGAATGATGGACACTGTTGGGAGTGTTAAGTTCTTGGCCTAAGTAGCTGCCGTCGCTGTCCATCGGCGATTGAGTACGAATGGACAGATCCAAGGATACATTATCGTCGACTTTGTCTTCGGTGTACTCGTAATTCGAGTCGTCCACTTCGATATCCATGGGCACCAAGATGTCGTTCCATACGAAAACTTTATTTTCCATAGGGTGTGGCTTGGTTTCTTCCTCCTCGGGAACTTGCCCTCCATCAATATCTATTTTCAACTCGCCCTCACTTTCTGAATCAACTTCTTCCTTAGGTATCAAGCTCTGTGCCCTAATAGCCTCTGGGCAAGCTTGCAGATGATTGTATAGATCGGTGCTTGATTTGCATCTCTGTCTACAGGCTTGACAACGAGTAGAACTAATGTTATGCATCGGTATCACATTGGGAGCCTTTCCGGCTTCCTTTCCACAGGATTTTTGGTGTTTAGCTTGTTCCGTTAAACATTTGCTTTCATGGCCGCATATGTTGCAAGTAAGGTTACTACTACCTCCCGTCCCCAGTTCTAGTTTTTCTCTAAGACTGTCGAAGAACGAGGCATTTTTTTGTTTGAAAACAACGTCGGTGAACTTACTTTTAGGCGAGGATAAATTATTGTACATGGCTGCAGGTATGAGATCAGGTACTTTGGGTGTTGACTTGAATACGTCTTCAGAACCAAAAAGGGAAGCGAAGTCCTTGAGAATACTATTAGAGGATTTCGCGCAGATGTCGTTCATGTCCTTTTGACTTATTTCTGGTTCACTGGGTTCCGGAATTTCCGCGGCTTTCAGCACTGGGAAAGCCTGTCTCTGTTGGCTCAGTCTGATAGCTGCTGCTTGAGAGGGGATAGGTATGAGATTTGGTATAGGCCTCGGTGGTTTCTTAGCTACTGACTTGCTCTCTTCTCGGTCGATGTTGTGAGCTTTCCTCTCGTGTTTGGCCATCTCAGAATCCCAGGCCGTTTTGAAGTTACATAACTTGCACTTGTTCTTGAGGTACACCTTTCCATTTGCGTGGCTGACTATGTCATCGGGATTGATGAAATCGGACCCGCCGAAATTCTTTGCTTCGACACCGGCAATGTGATGGAAAGTTTTTGTTTTTTTCGTCGATTGTATCTTAGATTTGGGTTTTTTGGGGTCTTCCGGTGATGGCTGCACTGTGGCCGGTTCCGGTTCACTAATAGCGACCTGTAACACAAATAGAACGCGGTGCTTTAGAAGAGCCGACAAAATCAAATACTGGAATGAAGAAAAGCGCGGAAATGTTTCGTCGATTATTCGAAGACAGCACGATTCCGATCCACCCAAAGCAAAGATCGGTGTGGTGTGTTATCACTTATGTATAACTACACATGGAACGAACTCGGTTTTGTGTGATAAGCGATATCGGCAGGTAAGGCGCACCTACACGACCGTATTATTCACTCTCATTGCTCGTTGTTACTTACGTTCCAGGAACGGATCGAGAGAGTTTTCGTAATTTTCGGCAAAAACGAAAAACAAGATTAGCGCGAAATTATCATAAATGTGTATTTGACGTTCTTTATTTGCTTTTATTACACTGAAAATGACATTATTCAGTTCAAATATTTATTTATGTACCAAGGACGAAACACTGTCTATTATAATCGAGTGAGTTTTTCGCCGAGGTGCATATTACGGTCCTATTCACATGTGAAATCTATCGGATTTCCTGAACAATTGATTTGACAACAGAAAATGACAGTTGTTGTCAACTCACTCTCCGCGCGGACTATTAGATTATGAAATGTTTCAGTAGAACATTAGATCAATATGCAAATCAGGAGATCTACTGAGAATTCAGTAGAACTGACAACCCTGCAGCGGATGAAAAGTTTGTGTCTGCGGACGAAGAGTACTTGCCTTCGGAAATAGTAGTTATTCGTTCGGAAATTAGAACGTAAAATGTGATTTTTTGTAGAGGTCGACGAAAAAAAACATGTATTGATGTTCAAAGTTTATTCAGAACGAGTTTGTTGAGTCTGAACACACGCAGTTCTTTGAAGTATATTTCGGTATATGTATGACCAATTGAGACAATTTATCAGCCCTAAGCTCTACCAGGGCTGCTTATTTTAAACTAGTCAGTATAATGAACTTTTTCTATCGTATGATTAGTATAGCAAAATAAACTCATGACATGCATTTTACCAATACCGCGGAGTTTTGGAAACAAAAGTACTCCAACGCTGTCCCAAATCTCTGCGTATATGAGCTGAGTATTCTGCATTTGGACTTACTTTATTCTCATTGAAAGTGGGTATATCCGGAAAATAATAAAAATGTCTACATATCGAACATAGTCGAAATAGTTTCTACACCTTCAAAAGAATAGAGATAATTGAAAGCGATAAACTGGTACACCGTGTGTTAAAGTCAACTGTTAAAGCTGGTGAACCGATGGTATAAAGTAAATGCACTGTTTTATCAGTAATTTTCCTTTGCCAGAAGCATCCACAACTTCATTGTGCGTACACATATCTACATATTATACAAGTCTGGCAACAAAATCTTACATGAATATCTACATAAAAAATGCGACATTAAGTCACTCAAAGCAATAAGAGATAATACGATACGAAGGAGGACGTCTGCTGAGCAATGAAATACGTTGGGTAAAGTTGCCTTATTTTTCTCTTTATTAGGTACTAAATATAATTTATTTCTTTTGCCATACGTGTATATCCAAGTTTGCTCGTTCAATTACTTACATACCGCGGTTCATGAACGCCAATTTTAGGCTCTTGATAAATGGAATTACTTTCTCAGATTTTGCCATTTAAAATTGGAAGATTCTAAATCTCAAACTCTGTTGAAATCATACAGTTTTCAATTCACTACAGTTTGTGACAACACTGGAAAAAGTATGTTTTTCATGGCAGGCTATATAATTGGCTGAGAAGAGTTGACCGTATTTGAGCAATTTTAAATGGGATCTTTCATTAAAAAAAAGTGCATATCATCAGCTCTCACAAAAATTGTTCAAAATTCTGGTTCTGCCATTTTATATGCAGAATACTTTTGGTCATATATGAATAATTGAAGGAAGCTTGTATTGGAATATTACAATATTGGAAATTTTTGAAGTCAGGCCATGACATTTTTGAAATCATGGTAAAAATCAATCATTAACTTATATACTAATCTACCTAAACTTTATATCGATCTAAATCTAATTACCTATTTCCTTTATTTGTATCTCGTACAATAATAGAAATATTTTGTACCATATTCGATATTCAAATAGTGAGAGAATTTCAAGCATTTGTTAGGTACCAACTACTGAAATTTCTGAACGTTCAATATACAATGTGTTTTCAGATTGGCTCTGAGATGAGTGTTATATTGCGTCAAATAATAGTAATTATATACCTCAGACATCATTCTCTACCAGTGGTTTAGAAATCAAATTGTTTGAAAAAGAACGTGATCCTGATCGTGTGTGTTAGAATAAGAGTTATTTGTACACAAAGGTAAAGTAAAAAATATCGTCATTATACTCCGAGGCGCCAGCCGAGGGATATATAAGGTCCTGTGGTAATGATATTATTTACCATCAAGGTGTATATTTTTTTTCACCACAACAAAATATTTTATTATAGTTCTGTGGAACTGAAATATGACCATTCGTCACTAGGAAATCACATGACCAAGACAGCATATATATGACAAGTTGTTATTGATAAATGCCAAATGAATACCTTCTAGATTCGAGTACCATTCCTGCGAATCTCGCATCAGAACAGTGCAATCGGGTTAACTACAACAGAGTCTTTATTGACTAGTGGTTCAAAAAAAGACAAAAACTACCTTGGTAGAAAAAACCACACTTCACGTCTTCAAAAGCTGGTGGTGGAAAAATAATCTTAACACTGCTGCCGACCGATCAGAAGCTACTTGAGTACTACTCGTCCGCATACTTGCAGCTGTAGCTGTTACATCTAGAAATCATCGCGTTTGACGACTAGAGGATTTGATATTCGAACACCTTGAATTTTCTTAAAATTCAACAGTATTTCTAATTTTATTTCTTTGTATTTCTTAAATCCCGTTAGAAAAAGTAGAATCTACAATACGTTTGGAATGGCTGGGAATGGCCTAACATACTATGGTATAACATTAGAGATCCTCTAGTGACTAAAGTGGCAAAAACTTTGCTCTCGAAATGCTCCTTGAAAAAATCTTACGGATTGACGATCTAGTTAATAACTCGATAATCCGCCCTATCCAATCATTAAATGAAATATTATCCATTGAAAAATCAAAATTTTACACTCACTATATATATTCTTGATATATTAAACTTTTCTCGAGAGTAATCCGAGTACAAACAGACAACCTGTAACTACTTACGGTGAACATAATATGATTTATTATATATTTTTCTTTTCAGAGCTGTTGATGCATACAGGGTTTCCCAAAATTGCTGGGACACAGAGATACCACGTGTAATACCAGTTCGAAATAAGTTGACTATGAACCCAACTTATTTATATAAAAAATGTACCGTTTGTCCGTGAGACGAGTTCAAAGTTTACATAAAAAAAAAACATATTTTTGTGCGCTGCAAATCAGATGAAATTTGACAAAAGTGCATTTTAAAGAATGACCCTTCTTCAAGTAATCAAAAAAACGAAAGAATTTCTAGAAGGGTTGAAACCACCCTCACCTCCTAACAATTTTTTCAGAACATTTTCAGAAGTGGTAACAGGGTTCACATATTTTTTTATCAAGATAACTGATTGATTACCTTCATTTTGTTACTCTTGTGGAAATTTCGTATTCCGCATAGTTCCGAAGGAAAAAATGTTTTCTTGAATAATGCTAACAGATATTCCTAGTAAAAGTTTGATGAATTTGTGATACAAAATTATTTGGCAGTGGTATCAAACGAATTGACATTTGTATTGATGAAGGTGTGCATCATATTGATCATTAATTGAAACAAAAAACCGTTCTGCCTTTGTTTCCAGTTGTACCTAAATTTTTCATTATAATGATATCAAACTTTTACTAGGATGATATTAAACTTTCACCAGGAATATCTGTTAGCATTATTTGATACAAGATTTTTTTCCTTCGGTACTATGAGGAATACAAGAGATTATGAGTGTATAATCTCTGGGAATACGAAGTTTTCACAAGAAGGAGAAAATGAAGATAATCAATCAGTCATCTCGCTCAGAAAATTTTAGAACCGTTTCACCACCCCTAATAATGTTCTGAAAAATGTCAGGGGACGAGAGTGGTTTCAACCCTTCGACAATTTCTTCTGGGTTTCTTTGATTGCCGAAAGGACGGTAATCCTCTAAAATGCACTATTGTCAAATTTCATCCAATTTGCTTCCCTTATTTTCGAACATTGTACGAAAATAAGTTTTTTATGTCAACTTTGAACTCGTCTCACGGACATGATATGTGAATAAATTGAGTCCAATCAACTTATCTTGACTTGTTTCACATGTGGTAGCTCTGTGACCCAGCAATTTTGGAACACCCTATATATAATGAAAAGACTCATTATGATGAATGGTTCCTGATTTGTAACTTTTTTGCACTGACATAAACTGTTATCTAGACCGCTGATACCATGAGAAAGAAGCGATGCTACTTAACAGATCGAACTGGGGAACATAAATCATGCGAACACAGGATCTGTCATCTTAATCAAATGAAGATATTTTGTATTTCGAGTAAAATTTTATAAAATCGCAAAGCGCTTTCGGCTAATGAGCCATCATCAGTAAATGTAGATAACTTACTCGTATTTACAAAGAGGTCAAAAAATTGTTAATCGACAATCATTATATAGTACAAACTGTATCAGAAACAGACATACATTAGACAAATAACTACCTACCCCAATGGGTTCTGGTAAGAAAACCTAGAAATAGTAATTTATTTGAGTATAGATTGTTTTAAAGTATTGGTGATTGCTTTTTCCGGTTATTTCATTATTATTTTGACACTTGATTACTCCGCTGATGAAGTCTCCGAAGCCCCTCGAGATTGCAATTTTTTTATAGCATCGAAGGAATGTTGAAGGTCCAAAATATCTCATTTACATCTTCCTATACCTACATACAATTAATAAAGAAATGAAAATGTTGGAGTTCTCTTCAATGAAATCAATAGAAATTTGAAGAAACTGATATGCCATATCTGGT